AATTATATAAATACATTATATATATATATATTAATATAATTATGTAATTCAGTGTTAATAGATAAATGATAAATTTTTTTAAATAATTTATGTTTATCTTTATCACCTAAAAATATACAATTATATTATAAGAAAGTTAAAGTATTTTATTTTGAACCTGATAACTATTTATGATATAAAAAATAATATTGATAAAAAATTCACTACCAAATTTTATCTGCATGAGATAATGATTTTTTAAGTATTACATAATCTATTACTTTATGTACTTGATTACCTATTAAGTGGTTATAACTTATTAACTTAAATTATTGAAAATAATATTGTACGCCAACTTAATTTAGTAGTAATTAATTAATTAAATGAAAATGTATGAATTATATGTTAAGTTAATATCTCTTTCAGCAGGATGTGCATCATCTATGTTAATGTTAACACCTTTGTAAGTATTCTGGTTATGCATTTTTTGGTAATATTGATAAATTAAATTCAATGACCGAAAATTAAAAAAAAAATTCCTTTAAAATTAATTTTTTTAGCCCAATTAGAAATTATTTTTTGACAATTCATACAAAGCCTTTATTTTATTAGATTAGTATGTAGAGATATAATTCAAAAGAAATCATCTGACCATGTAAAAGTTGGTACATTTACAGGAGCCTTTTTTAGGTAAGATGATGTAAACTAGTTATATATATAAAAATCAATAAAGTATTCTATTTAATTATAAGAAGTTTTAAAATTTAGGAGTTCCTTATTTTTTCGGCAAGGTCAACTTCTTAATTTACAAACAGTAATGTATGTTCATGGAATGGGTCTAATACTCAATTTTTTATACATATCGCTCTACTATTTTTACTCGAGTAAAAAGGTTATCACATTTTGAAACTAAGATTACTATATTTATTTGATCCAATTCATTCATTTTGTTTATTTTGGATTTCAGAATGAAGTTATTAAAAATGTTTTTAATATCATAAGCATAAGTTTTATTTTAATATTATACTCTGTATTTGAATCAAAAGAAGTAGTTTCAATTCGTTATCCATCTATAGTATCAGTTATTCACATATTGATTATTGCTTGGCCTTTATTATCATTGGTAAGTTTGACTTTTGTATTTATTTCTCACAATTAAGTCTGGTAAATTATACACTGCTATGCTTGAATAATAAATAATATAGTATAAACCTTAATAA